ACATTTTAACAGCTTTATAGGTTATATGTTAAAAAATCGATTCGAATCTTTCAGTGGGTTTGACCTATTTTGCCAATTTCCAATGATAAGCATTACATCACCACAGGTCTTACTCTCTGGTTCTCATCGTGCCTACACTGCCGTACAGATATACTTCACATTTTACTAGGACTCATAATCTATGAAATATATATCGATTGTGTTGTAAAGTGAATGAATCCTAGGGATATACTAACCACTAACGTAGGGCACGTAAATAATCTAATCCAATACAATACCGTCAAAAGTTCAAGGGTGTGCAAAAAGCTATTAACCCATAAATGCAAAAATGACTTTCAATGTGAAGTTATAAAAAGAAGACGAAAATTAAAATGTTTTGAAATTTATTACACAAAGAATTTTGATTTCAAAAGATTTCATTTCTAGCAATAAAAGAGAAACCTTGTATGAGTATATACATACATACTAACATATCTATGTCTGTAAATATGTATATGTATCTACATACAATTATTTATCTTAAGGTTAGAAATTTGCAAATAAAAATTGCAAACTCAAACATGATAAATATGACAAGTTTTTTTTAATTAAAATCTTTTAATTGATTAAATTTAAAATTTCAAGTTGTTTTTTTAACAATTAATAACGTTAATCAATTTTCCTTAAATCTGCCAAGTTGGTTGGTTATCCAAAGAAAAAAATTCCTTAAAAAAAAACTTTCGTTAAATTGAACAAGAAAAAAAATTATGAAAACAAGTTCTTCAAAAACAAAATCTCACCTGACCAAAAAAAAAATTAATGAAGAGCAAAACAAAATAAAGATACATACAGCTTCCGCAATTTTTTTTAAGCAACAAATATTTATTCTTTCTTGGTTTGAAGCAAAATATTCACATGACAAACGACTGCGATGGGAAACCTTAGGGGAATTTAACTATCTAATGTGTAAAAAAAAACTTGCAATAACTATAAAAAAAGTTAAACGTTGCTAAGGTTTATAATTGTTTATCATATCCGATTTGTTTCATTATTATTAGACCCAGACTATTAGCAATTCGAAAAAAGTGAATGCAAAAACTTTATAAAGTTTTTTTAATATATGGTCAATTTGACCCAACTCTAAACATCGATTTTGATGAAACTTGCACCAAGGATAGTACTATTGGATAGTAGGCCAGACACAAATTTTCAACTCTATCGGTCCAGAATTACCGAGGTTAGAGGGTCAAAAGGTCAAAAGTTACACTTAACCCTGTATGACCAAAATGTCCAACTTTGACCCCCTCTAACTCCGGCAGTTCTTGCCCCGATAGAAATTTATGTCTGGCCTATTATCCAATTGTACCAACATTGGTGCAAATTTCATACAAATCGGAGGTCATCGATTTTAAAAGTTGGGTCACTTGACACGAAATTTCCCATATGTATCTCGAAAACTGCAGAATCAGAAGAATACTGAAATTAAGTTTACCCAAAAAGTTTGTTAGCAATTCTGTATAGAAATATAATTATGTACATTCTGTAACGAATGAGCTTTCGTATCGAAAATTACAAATTTAAAGAAATTAAGACAAAGTTATCGATTAACCGAGCAGGGTAACGATAACCATACACCCGTCTCTGGTGTAAATCGAACCCACAACCCTGATTAGCTAGCACACTACCAACTATCCTATCGGGGCACCCCACCAAAATCTGGTTTATTTCAACTTCATTAAGCTATCAAAGAGGTCTTTATACTAAGGATAGGATCAAATATAGACCCGTTTACGTCCTACAGTGTTTTTAACAGATCGTCTTAGAATCTAATAAGAACACAGAATATACATATAAAGTTCATATTCAAGAATTCTATTCGATTTGACACTTCTGATTTGCCTTAATGCGAATACACTTAAAAACTGCATGTGTGCTTAATAAACAAAAAAAAAAACTTAAATACCGGTTACTTTACAATCAGCAATAAAAAAACAACATGGACTTAACATGTCCACAACCAAGATGACGATGATGTGGGTAATCTTGGTGCAGAATACCAAAGACAAACACACACAACATAATGCGCTTCTTTTTTTGGACAGAAATCAACAAATTGCGAAAAAAAAAGGAAGGAAAGAAAGAAAATCCAAGAAATTTGCAAGAAACTGGCCTTTTACACACTTTAAACGATTGGAAGAGCAAAATATTCATCTAACAAACGCGAATTCTTTAAAACCAGTTCTAAGGAATTTAATGTGTGATTTTGTTTATAAAAAAATTAACAAACAAATACGGACATTAAATCATGATTTTGTTAAAAAAAAAAAAAACAAATTTGTTGGTTATTTACTTTTTTTACATTTTCTCTGAACAACTTGAAAATAAAAACGAAATTTCTTGATTTAAACACGTTCTTGTGAAAACCTCACGTTTTTATTATTTTCTCATTTAGTCGATATTTTATGACTATTTTTCATTTTTATTTCATTTTTTTTATACAATTTTTCACTTCTTTTAGTTGAAAAATTTTCTTTCGCGTGGTGGAATGGAATGGAATTTGAATATATATTTTTGTTTCTCCTTTTCTAAACCATAAAAATGTCAATATTATGTAAATTTTGTCAGTTTTCATTATTTGTACGATTTATACTGTGTTTTACGTTATTTTTATTTTGGCGCTTTTATATCTTTGTGTAAATTTGCATGAATTTTTTTTTAAAGATACCAACGAGTATCCATTTAAATATTCCTTTGATTTTATTTCTTGTATGGAAATAATCCTTTACTTCGGCACGTTTTATAAGCAGGAGTAGAAGGTGGTTATTTTGTTATGTTCATAACAACAATTTATTGATGTTCAAATAAGTTTTTTCTTTGAATACCATATTGAAAACATTTATGTAAATGTTGGACTAAAACGAAACCATGATACCCTACTCTAATGTTAAAGTGTCATAATATTAATTATTATTGTGTACAAATCATCCTTATATTTTGAATAATACTTAACTTTTTTATTTCAAAGTTTTTAAAACTGGACCGTAGCTAGGAGCTAAAGACCGCTATTTATAATAAATACTAAAAAGTGTAGCATACTTTTCAGTCTTTTCAACTCTTAAATGTCACTCAAATTTCACCGTCATTAAAGACAATCAATTTTTGTCAGCAATATAAGAAATGACTCAATTTAATACTAAAAAAAATACATTCATTTTTTACGTTCATGTGACTCCTTTTGCCCCCGTATTTTTGCCTATAAAAATAAAACATGAATGAATAAATATTTTTTCTAAGCGCGTATTTCCGACCCACACACAACAATCAACTTCTTTGTTTACGGTAGTAGTACTATATACATACATATAGTATTATTATCGTTATTATTGTATTGTATTCCATGACGATATTTTTTATATTGTCTTGCAATAAAATATCAGATAATTTTTTTATTACTTTCTTCTTTTTGCTAATATTGGCAAAATTGTAGAATAATGAAAAAAAAAAGAACACCAAATTACTACGAACGATAAGAAAATATACTTTTTTTCTTTCCATTTAATTTCTATTGTTCATCGTTGATTATCACTTAAAGGAATGAATGGCTATTGGAAATGTATTCCTTGTTATGGGTTTAGAAATTATGACAACAATGTTTGCTAAAAGTTTGTTTAATTTTAAGGTGTGTTCTTCATTTCTTTTTCATTCACTTTTAGCCGTTACTATTACTATAAAATGTTGCATTGTTCTATATTTTTTTGTTGCAAAAAAGGTATGAAAATTATTTCTAATGATTTGCTATTTTTATTAAATGTTTTATAGGTGTGGTTGCCATAATTTTCTCTTTATTTATTGCCTCGTTAGAACTGATTTTATTTTTCATTTAAGGTTTAATTGACCATTTTAGTAATTTGGCTAAAGTATTTTTTAATACTGGCGCTCAACAAATACGACACACTGTAAATGAAAGAGTTGTAATGGATTCATTTGTAAATGAAACCACCACCATCATTTTCGGTCAATAAATAATTATTTTGTAATGGTTGTTGTAATGAAGGTTTATTAGGTTATTTAATGGTAATTTAGGGATTTTAAGGAAAATTAGAAATTATGGTTGCGACATTTTATTATTCAACAAATCTTCTATTTGCAGCAATTTGTTTCTTTAAAAAACATTTTCGAAATATTTTTCCTTTAAAGTAAATATTTGAAGGAAAAAAATAAGATTTAAAAAAAATCTTCATGTAAATTTTTTTAAATATTTGTCTTTAATAAAAATTGTTGAAATATTTTCTTTTTTAAAACAAGTAAGTGTTATATTCGGCTATGCCGAATCTTATATACCCACCATCAAACCGTATGCCATTAATGTGCGTTAAAGTCATTTCCTGAAGGGAACCTTATATGGGGGTAAGGTATAATAATGAACCGATTCCCATAAAATTCTGTACAGAGATTATGGCTTATAAGAAATTTATTTGTGTCGAACTTCATCTCGCCAGTAATGAGCGTTAAAGTTATTTTCTGAAGGGAACCTTATATTGGGGTAAAGTCAATTATGGACCGATCCTCATAAAATTTGATAGAGAGATTTTAACTCGTAAGAGTTAAAAAAATAAACTCTTTTTTTTAAGCCAGTAATGGGCGTTAAAGTAATTTTTTGCAGGGGACCTTATATGAGGGGTAGGGTCAATTATGAACCGATCTTTATAAAATTTGGTAGAGAGAATTTTTCTCATATAAAACATATTTAGGTCAAATTTCATCGCTATAATCGCATTTTTAAAAGAGTTATAACGGGGGCCACGTGGACTGATATTACCCATTTTCAATACCAAACAAACCTTAGCTATAGGATATATTTGTATAATTTAAACTCTGTAGCTCTTTTCGCTCGGACTCTATCGTGCTTTCAACAGACAGACAGACGGGCAGACATGGCTATATCGTCTTAGAATTTAATAAAATAATTGTCATTTTCCGAGAATGCTTTTATGATTCGATGATAATTATTCTATTCTTACCTTTGTGTCAAATTTAAATCTGCAAAGAAAAAAACAATTACAGAAATTAATAAAAGAGCTCAAAAATAAATTCTAAGCTGGAGTCAAGAATTTCCAAAAATATTTTAATTCATATTATTTGATCAATCAAAATGTCCGTCTGACATAAAAATCTATTAAAACATGTTAAGGACCCTGAGAATTTAATTGGCCTCAAATATACTAGATTTCCTTAATTATGAAACAAAAATTCACAAACACTCTAAAAAAAGCTAAACCGGTAAAAACATTTTAATCAAAATATATAAAAATAGTTGTTCACATGTTTTGTTAGAATGTAAATAAGATTTGGCACTACCGCATATTATACTTTTATATAAATGTTGTTTTTTTATTTTAATTTTATATTCTAGACATTAAATATTTGTCTTAATTACCATCATGATTTTTTAGTAAAAATGAAAGTTATTTCTTAAATAACATGCTAAACAAAAAAACTTTAAAAACAACGAGAAAAAAACTTTCATTTTCCAAACACTCCAAAATGGATGTGTAAAAAGAAAAACACATATTTTTGCCATATTAAAATAACTTAAGTTATAAAAGTCTAAATTTGTTAACAAAAAAATAACATAACAACATTTATGTGTTTGATTTCAGCAGGAGAAGTACGTGAAAAATACAATGCCTGTTTAAGAAAGTGTAATGTTGTTGCAAATATGTGTATGTTGCCACAAGCAGCCAGCATACTATATATTTCTTAATAAGTAATTGTCATTTTCCGATAAACAGCTTATAAAAATGTTAAAATAAAACCTCTGGTTTGTTAGAGTTTCTTTGGCAAACATATACAAATTAACATAAAACATGGAGTTTGTTTTGAACAAACACAACACCACAACTTTGAAGTTAGTCTGTCTAACATGTCTCGTTGTGTGTCTAACCAAACTACTCGAACAGGTAAAAATCTTGGAAATCTGTAACCTCAAGTCTTAATTTTATCACCAACACCAAATAAGTATTACGATACAAAATGCAACAAAATATTGCAACAACAACAACAATAAACTTAAATTAGATTTCTTAATAAGTTTAGTGCGGTGTTTTTTGTATCCAACACCAAACAACAACTTAATCGGTTTGAAATATATAGAGTTGAGTTGTTGACATAAATGGCTTAACTTGACGTTCAAGTGGCGTTACATTGTCAGTTCTACTTACAAACAAATTTTGATGCGATTTGTATTAAAACAAATAAGAGAAAAACACCAAAAAATTTTAATTGAAAACAAAGTTCAAGACTTCAAGTAGAATTATGTACCAAAAAAAAAAACTGTTAAAAGACAAGCATCTAAATGAATGAGTCAATAAGTCAAGTCAGTAAACAAGAAGTGGTTAAGTGAGTAACTAAAAGTCTCTGTAATATTAGACACTTTAAACATTTTTTGGTGGGTTGTTAGTTAACCAGCAAAAACTGTAATGACTTGAGCTTATACTTACATTCCAACTACTACATTTGTAAGTACTTATTTATGTATTTATTTGTAAGTACTACGTGTTAAGTACTTGTCTCCAATGACATAACTGTTTAAAATAATGATTTAAAATTCTAATAAATCATTAGTGAAAAGCGGCTTTTTTAGCTTTTTAACTCATTACCAAGGCAAGGATTTTCATGCGCTAAAAAATTTAAAATATGCAAGATATGCATTTATAACAAAATATGCAACATCAAATCGATGCCATTTTGTTGCAAATTCTTCGATTCGCAAAGATAAATTGTCAAAAGTGATTTTGAGTTATCGACTACAAACATGCAATTGCATAGAAATCCTTGCCTTGCTTATTACTTTTCAATATAAGTTTTTGCTGGGTACTTTAAATTTTTAAGTTTTTTCCTACTCACAAAGGGAGGATTTTTGTTCATAATTGATAAATTATTAACAAGAAAATTGATTTTTCCTTAAATGTTAACATGAAATTTGTAACGTAATCGTTGGAATTTTTTTTTTCAATAAATTGTTTTGACTAAGGATATGCGCATTATGTCTTTAGTATGCAAAATAATGAAATATGTATGTATACATGTCTGTCATTAAATTGTTTTGTTTTTTATAAATTTTTAAAGTGAAAGTCAAAAAAAGAAATTGTAAGAAAATTAAGTTTACAGGTGATGGTGGTATGTCAATCTTAAGTCATTGCTTTTAAAGTAGTGTTTGCTATATAAGACACAAATTTAGAATACCGTTAAATTACTTACAATTTAGTACCCTACGCTTAGCTACATCAACATGGTACAGATATGATTGTGTTTGTATTGATATCCAAAAATTAAAATTTAACACCCATTCTTAAATCGGCCGCTCATACAATTAATTGTCTATAGATTGCAAAAAACAGATATACTTAATATTTATTAAAGATCATTAGACTCAAATTACATATAAAACCGTTTCCTAAGATCAATTTAAAGTTTAGAATAAGTTTTTCGATAGAATCAGTAATTAGTCAATGTCTCATAGATAACCTAAGTAATGATTTATTATAATTCCCCTTTTCTAACTAGACCAATCACAGTCAACCAAAAAGTAAAAGTTATTTCTTCTACTCACTCACGTTCTCACTTTTCTTCTAAATGTCTAAAGAAAACTAAGAAAATTTGTTTTTAATCATGTGATTATTATAACTACCAACATATCATGTCTACATCCGGTATATTTACAGTCTACACTTAACACTTGTTTAACTCTACTGACCTGATTAACAACAAAATTTTAATAAAATTAGAAATAAAAGTAAAAACAAACACAAAAAATGTTTTTCCATCATATGGTCAAATATTTGTTTAGATTTAGAGGAAAACAAATCTTTCATTTTCACGCACTAAAATACAAATTTTCAGTAGTTTTGGATTTTTTGTGTGTGTTTCACAAATAATTTCAAACAAATTGAATTTTCATGTTATAACTAACAATAATGTTCAAGTATGAGTATGATGAAACAGGCATGGAACAGCTGAATGTGGATAAAAATTAAAATTTAAAAGTTTTTAATAATCTATTTTTGGATTATTAGATTTTAGATTACATATATCAAATATAAATTTATCAAATATGTTTCAATTTACATCAATCCTTATAAAGTTGGCCAACCCCTGTATATAGTATATGCGTAAGTGCATGTAACAACAGGTCTCTTCCTAAGTGTTATTTAAATATAGTTTTATTGGTTTTTACTAGTTTAAATAGATTTAAATGTGGTTAAAAAGTTGTATAAACAACTTAAAGTTTAAACAAAAAATAATTGAAATAAACTAAACCAAATATTATTTGCTGTGGGGGATAAAAATAAATATAATATGCACCTGTTTTAAGTGTTAAAACAAGTCAATGAATGGGAAAAGTGAATAAATAAAATTTTAGGGCATTTGAAATTATACACTTTTTATATAAAATATATTCAAAAAATTTGGATTATACATACCAATGTAAAATATTGGAATATAGTTTTTTCCACTTGACAGTAAGAGTTTGCAAATTAGCAATAAAATCGTTTTAAAAATGACAATTATTTAGCTTGAAGTTATTATCAACTCCGAAGAAACACACCTAGACCTGAATATCTGTTAAGAATCGAACCTACGACCAACAGACCGAACTTACAAACGAACCTACCAGAGGCATCCTTTATAATGAACTTATATATTTCACAATTTTACTTTATTACGAATTACGAAAATCCATAATTTTATAAAGAATTAATACAATTCTCATTAAGTTAAGAATATATGAAGCCTAAGAAGATATCTTTAATTTACTACAATACTAGCATAACTCAAGTTGTTGTTGTTTTCATTGTATTTTGCTATGTAATGACAAACTTTCGTATATTTTGACCATATTATTTTGGATTGCTCCTACATCCATTATTTATAAACCGATTTTGCAAAATCTGAGAGAATTCTGTGGTAAAATGGCAAAAGTATTTAATTTTTTTGTTGTACTTTTCAGCATAACGCTTTAAAGTTTTAAATTCCAATACAAAACTATAGTAAAACACATTTAAAAATTTCGATATTTTCAAAAGTTTTGATATGATCTTTATGAAAAATTTACAGTTTAGTTTAGTACGGAGATTTCAAAAATGATTTTAACTTAACTTGAGATATTTTTGCCACAGAATTTTAATTGACTTGCAGACAAAGGGGGAAGAAAGACAAATGGAAATAGCTTAATCGACTCTATCTATGAGTATTCAGAATAATATATTCAGAAAAATATATTGTGGAAATTACAAACGGAATGACAAACTAATAGATACCCTTCTCTTGAATGTGAATGGTATAATTATAAAGACGAGCTAAAGGTTTATGTAAATAGTCTTGGGGGATAAATTAAATGCTGACTTTATGATCGATTGAACCCAAAAGCTTTTTTTACATGGGTATATGTAGCCTCCAAAATTTTAATCACATTTTTTTATAACATAATACTACAT